CTTCAAAAATTCTTTTACTTCTTGCTAGAGCTCTGATCTGATGAAACTTTAATTTACTGGCTTCCACCCTTACCTGTATATTGGTAAGCAATTTAGGTATGACAAAAAGCTTAAGCAAACTCTTTTGAAAATAAAACGAATCTATACCTTGAATGAGTAAACAATTTTAATTGCATATAATAGATCTTGAATGCCACTACCCTCTCTTCCCTCAAATGATGGTAAGCGAAATTCTCCTAATAGATACGAGCACATGAGATATTGGGAAGCCTGAAAACTGCCCCAGAATTGAAAATGATTTCCAATCCCTCTTATTCCGAAAAATTCAAGATCACCAATGTTCTTCTTTGCATCTTCTGGCAACGTAAGTGCTTGCATTGCGGACATTATTGAGAATCCTTTAAGCAATATGCCTAAATCCTCACGATTGTTTTGGTTTTCAGCTTCATGATAATTACCGAAGCCACCTTTCAGTTCAACCCAAACATTCTCAAATTCTTCATCATCATCAAGTCCATCTACACGAGTTTTTGACTTTATTTTTGATAATATCAATGCTTTATTGTAGTTAGAGACTATTTTTTCTGCGTTTGATTCAATTTCGCCTGGTTTTACTGGTCTCAGTGGCACGAGGAGCCGAGATGCTAACTGTATTTTGATCCATTGCTCTTTAATTTCTTTTAGAAAAGTACCATCCTGCCATTGCATGATCCTACAAGAAAAACTGTTATTATGTAATATAGCAAGAGGGAAGACAAAGATGACACTTACACCCATTTTATAAGCTCAGAAGCCCATAAAATATCTCGCAATCGCTTGTCCAATAGATCAAAAGGAAGAGATGTTGGCCATTTTTTCTCCAGCGATGTCAAGGTCTGGCAAACAGAAAATTCTTTAAGATACAAAACTAATCGTATTCGACTCACAATTTCAAGAACTTTTATGGCATCCTCTTCGATATCGGTCAAGCTGTATATCAAATTCAGATTGCCTGGTTCTAAGAGCTTCTTTTTGTTCTCTTCTCCGAACATATTTATTAGCATTTGTTCGTCATCTTCCGTTGAAAACGCATTTTTCAATTTATGTTTTGTTAAAAATGGGATTATGATCTTGTCCCAATGGTCATCACTTATTTGTGATGTACAGTCTGTATCTGAAAAGTTAAAATGGCCACGTTTAATTATACCGATTCTCTTTAGATTATTGCTCAAGTTTATACCATCCATTATCCAATCTTTTCCCATATATGGGTATTCAGCGTGAGGGGGGATTTCATCAAGATAACATGGAAAATCTTTGGTTTGCGTATTGCTGTTATTATAGTCTTCGACAAGATGTGTACTTGATTTAGCTTCCTTTTGTTCGTCGTTTTCATTTTCTCCTAAATTATTTGCTTCTTTACCCAAATGATTAAGTACATTTTTGTGAACGACTTCAGTGGCTAGGTCGAGTCTTTGGTTCGCCATGTTTAACGTTGT